ATTCCAGTATTAATTTTGTGATTTAACCATCACAAAATGCTTCTTTAGATTTTGTAAGACTACTGGAATGCATAGTATATACTTCTTCTTAGCTGCAATCGTCTCAATGGTCATTACTTACTTACCGTCTGTACTCTTTTAAAAATGCTTGTTTTTGTAAATTTTTAATTACATTTTATTTGTGCAACAAAATCTAAGTTTACAATGAAATGAAAATTTCCTAAAAGGAAGCAACAATTAATAAAATTGTTGACAAACAAGTTTTTCGCGTTTGCCTTTTAGCTGGCAACATTAGCATTACAACGATGGCAGCAGTAGCAGCAATAGCAGCAATTGCTGGAGCAACAGCATCAGCAATCGACTGGTGTCGCTTGTATCTGCTGCCGGCATCAGTGGTCTGCCTCACTGTCGTGTAAAATTAACGTGATTAGACGTTTGCATCATTAAGACGATAACCCATCATCATTTGGTTTGGTTATGCATGCTGAAGTACTCGTATCTAAATACTCTTGCATGTGCTATAATATCCACTATCGCTTTCGATTTACAGTAGACTTGGACTTGCATATGCAATGCATTAGTTGCGCGCTAAACAGTAATTAAGATTAATTTTTACGCGTTTTAAGATTTTTATATTTCTCATTTACAGACTTCGTTTTTATCGAGTCATAAACGTATTGCCTTATCTTTTTGTAGTGATATATTTGCGCATTTGCAAAGATATTGTCAGATGCTCTCGAAGTTTATACAGTTTTTTTTACAAATTGTAATATACTATGTAATCTATTTTGATGATATTTTTAGTAGGTATCTAAAATTGGTAGCTGATATGTTGAAGTACAAAAACGTGTTATTTGAAGGCTTCAGCCCATTTGCGGTTTGTTGCTTGATATTATAGTTAGCATTGTTTTTATAATTAATTTAGAGCTTTTTATTAAATTTGAGAAAGATTGAACCTGCCTCACTCTTACCAGTTATAACTGGATTGAATTTAATATTGTGGATGAAAAAATCAATTATATAGTATAATTTTTAATGTGAAATTAATCAGCAGACTGGTAGAAGTACAATAAATATTTTATCTCCATTGTTTAGTTGTCTGGAATGTTAATTTTAGTGTATTTAAGTTATGGTTTATAATTAGTAAAGATTAAGTTATTTGACAATAACTGTTGGTATTATTTTAATACAACATTTGATTGCATTTGCATGTACTTAATGTTCTTACAACACATAATGGTATTTTTCGACTTTCAAACGAGAACATTTTCAAAACTTAAAAGTAATCTGTAAAATATTTATATTTATTTATATTTTATTTTATATGAAAGCAAAGTTATTACCTTAAATCACTAATAGATAAACGGGGAACTTTATGCAGTCTCCTAATTTAATGCAAATTTGAGGAGAGTGTGAAGTACTGCGAGCAAAAGCTCTAATTTACTAATTTCTAGTAGTATAGGATAATGTTATATTTGTAGATGAGGTTATTTTGATAAATTAAAAAACTCGAAGTAAACGTTAATAGTTATTATTTATTCATTTTGTAAATAAAACACACAAATTTAAATTTTATTGCAAATTTCTTTGCAATACACATATGCCAACGCTTAACCCAATCTTCCATACATTTTCCGTAGGCCCGTGAAGGTATGGCTTTTAGTTCCTTCAGCGAATTCTCTTTTAATTCATGGATTCAGATTTCCTTTCCTCGAAGGCAAGTTTTTCGATTAAAAGACCCAAGCCTTTTTGTAGGATACTTACTTATCAGACAAGATCGGCGCTTAGAAATAGAAAATATATATTTAAAAGATCTAAAAGATCTTTTAAAAGAAATTTTTCATTTAAAAGATCTAAGCTTTTCTGTGGAGTACTCATTTATCTGACCATATCAGCGCTTAGAATTATAAAATATGTATATAAACTATTTGTATAGTCATGTTAAAGATTTGGACCAATCCAAATAATTTTGTAAACAAGTCTGAAATTATTTATTAAGTAATTTCTTTACTAGGATGATTTGTATTAACTGCTATATTTCGAAACAGTTTTAATATGTGTCAAAGTTAGATAGGGACTATCACTAGAGACACGAAATAAGTGCCATATTATCCTCTCTAATAATAATTATACTAAAGATTAAATGAATGAGTTTATAAAATATCAAATAATTAGATGAAAACTAAATACTAAATTACGAAAACTTCTAACATTGTTTACATGAATAATTTATCATAATTCAATCAAGCTCTTGTTACAGTGTATCATACAAGTGATCAGAGACTTGAAACTGCACTATAACTACAGATTAATAGTACAAATAGTACTATACAGTTTTTATGTCACTTCGAAAGCATTGTTAGCTGAAAATTATATATAGGAATATATTAACTTCATATATCTATCAGATTTAGTAACTGGGTTAATAAAAAAAAAATAATTTACATAAAAATTAAATTGCATATTTTCAACATCAATTGTATGTTGCTCCTAATAGATAATATAATAAGGTTTAAACTTCTTACACAATTTTTACCAAGATATATTTTAAAAACTGTTATAATCTATCATAATTATTTTTAATATTCTTTGAATCATTTCAAATCATTTCAGTTTTGCTATAAGAGTTTAATACTAATGTTTTTTCATGACTGTAAAATGTTAGTTCTTATTTCGAAAACTATTAATTATACTTGCATGCAATTTAAAACAAATGGTACAGAAAATTCAACAATGATAACAGGTTACAAAATTATTGTCTCATTACTTCAATACTTTCAAAGATATTGCGGTTTTCAGAGCGTTGTACAGGTAACAATAGACAATATTTGAGTTCAATAACCTGTATCTTATGCAAGTATGTATATCAATCTTACAACTTTAGATATAAATACAATAAAACTGAAAACCTCAAAACTAATTATATATGTGCAATCGTAATTTCAGATAAACAGTAACTTAGATATTGAAATTGAGTTCGTTTTCAGTATAATTGCTTGAACCGATATTAATTGTATTAAAATCGATTACCTACTTTTACGCTAATTTTATTTGATAATTAATTCGTACAAAACTATATAATTAAATTTAAAGAAATTTATTCATTCTTAGTTTATACATAGTTATGAAATATGATCTACGAATTGTTAATAATTTTAATAAAATTTCAAATAAAATAAAATTAAATTAAATAGATCCCGTATTTATTTAATACGATTTATCAGCGAGGAAATGAAAATTTACGTAGTTATTTCCTAATGTATCTCTATCTGTTCTTCATTATTTTATCTATATCTGTTTAACTTCAATAAAAAATTTTTGTTTTCGTTATTTCATTGTTAGAAAAAATCATTAGCCATAAAGGCTTTGGCTTTACTAACCTTAAAAATTTCCACATTCTCTCATCAATACTATACATAACATATAATAAGACTACATAAGTACTTATTATTTGCAAACAAAAGTGTCAATCTTATATTAAAATAAAATAATAGATAAAATATAATGTTGCAATGACAATTCGAAAGTACATAGATGAACTTGTAGATATATTCTTAAGGTAGAAAATCCAATTTACTCAAGATAATATCGAAGTAGTTTTCACGACCTAAAAATAGCTCAAGAATTTAAAAATAAACTTAATGTTTAATAAGAACAGTATAAAATGAGACAACTGCATAAAATATCTTAACCCAAATTTTACAAGGAAAGTTGACATAAATGTGTCAAGACACTCTAGTTTTTACTAGAGTAACTCATCTAATCAGTTTATAATCCTAACCTGTAGACGATGAAGAGATTAAAATGAGCATGGTATATTAGCTCAGTAGATACCATATACTAAGAGGTAATGAAGCTTATCTCATAACACTGATTAGTAACTTAACTATTTATGTTCACTCACACTAGGGAGTAAAGGTACTGTTTGATACAAATTCGAATCAATCAATTATTCAATGAATCAGTTATTTAATATATACGAGTATATTTGTATATTTTTATTACTACTAACTCGAATCGAATCAATATATATTTATATATATTTGAAGTCCAAATATTATATATGAACAATTAAACCATAAGTATTTTCAAAGACCACTGATAAACATTGAGCGATATCCGAAACAGCATTACGATCAGCCCAAAAATTTTCTTGAACCACTACGAGTCACTTTTTTATTCAAAAATACATATATTTTCGTTTATACCAAAAATATATAAAACAACATTTTTAAATATAAATTTTATTACTATTTCAGTCGCGTCCTTCCAGAATATATACATTGTAATAACAAATAAATTGATAAATATTCATAGATTGATTGTAGGGTATGTGATATTGAACAAATAAATTTTTATATCAAAATATTTAAAAGCTTCATAAATTGTTAAGTAAGAGTCTACATAATATATTTAATTTTGTCTAATATATTTATAATACATCAAATTCTAATATAATATAATACATTTAATATAAGTATATTACTGAGATCTTCCGGTATCTAAAAAACATTGAATTGTTTTAATTAATAGAACAATATTACAGTATGAAAAATTAAGAGATTTGCTTATAATATAATATATAAACATGTTAAATTAATATATAACATAAAATAAAATAATACAACAACAGTTACACAAGCAACACACTTTGTATTTATTGTATCTGTATCTGTGAATACTGTTGCTAATAGTTTTTTAGCTCTAGTATTTAATTCAGCTAACACCATATAATCTTAGTATTTATATGGAATAATTTGATTAATATTATTTTCACGTTTAATCCATAATATTTAGGAAATTTTAAACTATGCTTACATAATATATAATAATTATTACTTTAATATATTTTTTAATGTTTGGAGGTCATAACTAGTTTAGAACTAGTTAGCAGTTAAAATACCTCACGATTTTAAGAGAAGAAACCTTTAATTATAGAATAAATAATATTTTTAATAACAATTATTAAAAATTATTTCCACATCTCTATTATATTACAGGAATCCCAATTGGTGGAGAAGGCGTACAACACTCGAACGATGCTTGACATTACTGAGTATTTTTGCTTTCATAGCAGTGATCGCGTTGGTGATTGGATTAGTGTCAGTGATACTATCAAAACAGATTGCCGAAGGTAAGTGCCTTTTAAGTATATTTAAATCTCATAACTTGCTCATTAATCCTATAATATCGTGATGTAATAAATTACGTAAATACAAATCTACTAAAGTTTTTATCTATGAAAATGTTCAAAATAATACTTTTATTCAAAACTATAGAAAGATAATCATATATTTATTTTAAAAACATTATTTTGAAAGTTCTATGTTCTTATACTTATTACTTGTAATTCAAACATTGAAGCTATCACCCGTTTGAAATCAAATCAAAATCAAGTATAACATGCACTCAACTTCTAGGTTTCTAATGTAATTTTTTAATATGTGTTAAAAACAAAAAGAAAACAGAAACATAGAAAACATACTCATAACAATGTTAATTTTATTTTGGTAGATATTTCTATCAATCAACAAAACTCAATTTTAAAAACCTCAATTATGAAGTAAACATTTTGCTTCATTCATTCATGCAATCAGTACTCAACATAACCTTTATGTATACATTAAAATAAATAATCAGCCAAACTGCCAGCTAATTGTACTAAAAAACAAATTAAAAATATTTTAAAAATTCCGATACCATTTATTAAAGTGATTAAATTAGATATTGAAAATTTATTATAGAAGTGCCATATGGATATGTTTTCGCTTTACTGAAATATAAATGAAAAGAAAAACAATCCAATACTAAAATGGTTTTAATTTTTAATTCATAATACGTATGCAGTTAGTGCTTAAGTTATTGAAATAAACAACAATCACAGTGCCAACTTACAATCCATAAAAAGTAACAACTTAACATTTTCAATTAAGAGGGCTAGCTAACTGCAAAAAGAAAACGAGAATAGGTTACATATTGTTAATACCTACAATAATTAATTACAGAATAAAACCCTTTAGCTGACGTAACGTATAGAGTTTTAGAGTTAGTGCACAAATTAAATGTAAACGTAGTAACAATAAACAAAAAACAAAAGTAATGCCGAAAAATCGTCTTTTTTCCAAAATTTTAATTATACTTCGAATTTAGTAATATGATGTCTAATTAACATATAACTAACGAGCTTTTGGTCTGAAGGCTTTAGTAGCCATGATCTTTAGTTAGGATATTGTTTGAAAAATAAGTCCTAACTGTTAAATTAATAAATATTACCAAAAACAAAAAATTGCTCAGTAAAACTAAGCAGAAAACCCAAATATTTGAATATAAAAGAATAGACGAAAATAAAAAAAAGTTCCAACTACTTTGAGGAACACAAAATTAAAATCGCTTTATAACTGCACTAAAAATATAATATTAAAAAAATTTTTTTCAATCAATAAAGTGAATTGATATTAATTGAGTATGGTTGATGTATGAGATATGTATAGTCAACTATATAATAACTACCTTAAAAGCTGAGAAATAAATCATATGAAAGGTAATATAAAGAGAGATACTGTATCCACATTAATTGGAAGGATAAAATAAACATATTATTAAATATTCATTTTTATGTCTTTAATTCGCATTCTACATTACTCACTGAAATTTTCAATTACTTACTTAGTTTAAATTTAAAAAACAAAAATTGATTTTATTATTTGTTAGAACTTAAAACACCTGCCAATTCAGCTGAAGCCCTACACGGCGATAGCAGCCGATCTAAACAAAATGAGGTACAAACTGGCATAACTAAGGATGATAATTTGGGTTCAAAAAAACAAAACATATGCCTGACGACTGAGTGCATACATACCGCTTCAGCGGTTCTAAGTAAAATGAAACCGGAACTAGAACCTTGCGATGATTTCTATCAATTTGCGTGTGGTACATATATTGAAGAGGAAAATATACCAGATGACAAAGTCTCTGTAAACACATTCTCGACAATTTCCGATAAACTTCAAGAACAATTAAAAGATATCATAACAGAAGAACGTCCAGAGTCAGATCCAAAACATTTCCGTTTACCTAATGCGCTTTATAAAGCCTGTATGAATAAGAGTAAGTTTTATAAAAAAAATTTAATAACATTGAATTTATTTTTATTAAATGAATGTATTTTTTGCAGCACTGATTGAAAAGTTAGGACCAGAACCAATTACTAAGATCGCTGACTCTTTAGGTGGTTGGCCACTACTTAAAGGTGATGCGTGGGATCCTGAAAATACATGGACTTGGCAAGAGACTGTAAAAAAATTCCGTAGACTAGGTTTTAGTATGGATTATGTTGTAGATTTTTCAATAAGTGTGGATTTAAAAAATAGCACAAAACGAATTATTGATGTATGTATTATAAGCATTTTAATCTATTTTTGATATATCACTTTCACATATTGCAGCTTGATCAATCTTCAATTGGTTTAAGTCGGGAATATTTGGTTAAAGGCTTTAATGAAACATTAGTCTCAGCTTATTATGATTACATGGTCGACATTTCTGTATTGTTTGGAGCTGATAAAGAAACAGCTAAGAAGGAATTACTGGAGTCATTACAATTCGAAATGGATTTAGCTAACGTAAGTAGACATAAATAAAATTGTAAAAACAGTCCTTTTTAAATTAGTGCTGAATTAGTGCTATGAGGAAAATTGTTGTTCTGAATGTAGAACTGAAATATATATAAGATGCCTGTCTTTTGTTTAAATTCTATATTTTAAAGAGTGTTAAAGTGAAAGTGAAATTTGTTGTTATCCTGCTGACTTTATTATTTTTATTCTTCTCTATTACCTTTGAAGTCCATTCGTTTGGAAGCTATATAACTTTTGTCATTCCACATGTTCTGCGTCGTACATTATTTTACAAATGTTTTTTAAGTCCTCTCAGATGTGGTGTGATTCCATTTGTATGAGTTTGGCATCTGTAGTATATACCTAATACAGTGTCATTTCCTTTATTGACTTAGATTTTTGCTTTTTATACGATTACCTATATTATTCTTTAATTGAGATCTGTCATGGCCACCATAACTTAACATTCCCCTTATTTCTTTATTATTATGACTTATATATGCAAATGTGTAATTTGGTCTGTTTCTATATTTAATATTTGTATAGTTGTACTAAAACCATATTGAAGTTGAAAATACTTGACTTTTTTTAATATTTAGCTCAGTAGTGTTCTCGATAAATTATCATAATATATCAATCAGTCTAAGTTCATACATTTCAATATCGCCATTCTAAACTAACCTATTCGCTTTACTAACAACAGTACTGTAGTAGTTCTACTTCTTATAACTCCCGAGAGCCTAAGAATCCCGTAGGGTATTTGTTTAGAAGTTTATTTGAACAACTAAATGTCGTATAATATTGTTTTTATATATAATATTTTTTTGTGATCAAAACTTTACTTTTTTCGGTTTCTCATACGACACTTTATATTTTAAATTGTTGTAAGGAGATTCGAGTTTCATTTGACAAATTTGTGACATAAAAAATCCGAGATTCTCCGATCCCTGATTGAGCAAAATCCATCATGATGATGAAAGCAGTGAAATAGTTTTGTTATTCTTTTTTGTCTTTTTGAAAGCTTTTAAGCAATGTGTATTTTTGAAAAATTGACAAGGCTTACTAAATAAAATTTTTATGTTAGTAAACGAGAAGATATTTCCTGTTGCTTAGTCTTAATTTCCACATTTATATCTACTAGACTTACTCTTTTTACGACATTTTCTACCTATAGTTTTGGAGAATAAAGGAGTCTATTCAAATTTATATAGCTATTCTTTGTTTCCTTTTTTGCCGATGTATTTATAAATGTATAACTAGAAATTGAAGCGCTTTACCGCCTTCAATTTTAATGCCGTGGTACATAGATCTTTTACAATATATAAATGTCCAACGCCAATCACAAAATCGGCAACGAAAACAGTTTTTTTTTTTCAAAGTTCATCTTCTAATACTATACTGAATCATAATTTATTTGAAAAGTTGAATTATTATTACATTTTTATTACATCTCTGAGCATATGTACATTTGTTCATATAATATGATTTGTGTTCTATATGGAAATATGGATATATGGATCTGCGCATTCAGACTGTCTCTATTTAAATGTGTATGTTCTTTAAATATACACATTATATGTGTGGATAACGACACATTTTTCTGGATTGAAAGCCGATTAAATGGTCCAATTTGAAAATTTTAGTTGACATTAATTTTGTTTGGAATTGAATATCTATATACAAAATATATTATCTGTATAACAGTTTTCGATAAGAATTTTTCATATAAATATGTCTTATGATTTTGTATTCGAACTTGATTAAGAATTTATTTGAGAATGATATTTGAAAGGTTCTAACTGTGAAAATACATTTATACTTTAATATAAATTTGCAGATTTCATGGCCCAACGAAAAGCGTCGCAATTCGAATGATCTTTATAATTTACGCACCATCAAGCAAATACAAGAAGCCTACCCTTATGTGCAATGGTTGGATTACATTAATGCATTGTTACCTGATGGTCTTACCGTCGAAGAAGATGAATCGATCAACTTAACTGTACCAAGTTTCTTCGATGATTTAGCCGATTTATTAGCGAAAACTCCTAAACGAGTGATTGCCAACTACATGTTTTGGCGTATACATGCTTTCTCTATAGCTTTCCTTTCCGAGGAGTTCCGTAAACGTCAATTGCAATACGCTACCGCACTATCCGGGCGCCAAGAGCAGGAAGCACGTTGGAAGGAGTGCGTGGATATATCAAGTGGCAGGTAAGTGTTACTTAAGTGCGACGTTGTTAATCGATTGGTAATCAATGAATTGATCACTTGATTTATCGATAAGGTAATCAATTATGTGGGTTGGTCAGTTAAGTATGTGTGTACACAGAAACACACATGCAAGTGTAAATAAGTGTTACTGGTAGTGGAGATGCTAAGCCCGAATTTTTGTGTTCCAAATTGAAATTTTGAAAATCTTTAAAAATTGAATGACATTTACATTTCCAACACTGGAAATCAATATTACAAAACACAACAGTTTTAGGACTTAAGCATTTGAATAGCAAAGTTTTTCAAGTTTATATGGTTCTTATATAAGAAAATTTAACAATTTGTTTAAATTTTATGCAATTTAATTTTTTTAATTTGGAAAATCACAACAAAAAGTGTTAATTTTTGTCAAAGACTTTGAAGAAAATTTGATGTGTGATTTATTTTTTATATTTTTTTGCATCTATTTTTTATTTTTGTTTTTAGCAGCGAGAATGATGAAGCCGAAGATGGAACAGGGTATTTAATACAAAATAATTTTATATGTTTTTTCTCTAAAAACACGATTTATGTCAGTGTTTGCACAATTTAGTATGTTATTGGCATAAAATCACAGTGCTAAATATGGTTTTTGAATTAAAATATGTAAATTTTTTTAAATTTGGTTAGTTAAGCAGAGCTATTGACAGCTTTAGGCTTAAGCGTGTTTGCAAGCTTATATTTTTTATTTATGTATTCTTATATATATAAATGGGCTTCACCAGTTCACGAGTCTCATGGTTGCAATTATTGGGCAGTTACAGAAAGTATTATTTAAATTTTATTATATGACGGTGTTTCTTAAATTTATGTCAAAATGAAATGTTTTTAAAGCAAAAGTAATAAGTGTGTGAAAACAAAATAAAGTTAATTTTAACATTTTAATAAATAAATAAAATATAAATAATAGAAAATAAAATAATATAAAAATAACTGCATGAAATTTAAAAATAACATTTATGTGTAAATATGTCTTATAAAATTAATTTTTATTATTTTCCATTTTCTTTATAACGATTATAATATATGTATTATAATCAATTCATAACGGCTGATAAATAATTTCAGAAGTCGTAAATACATATAAAGAGTAACTTTGCTAAGTAGACTTATGAATCGGTTTATTACCATGAATCTGGAATTTCAATGAGATAAAATCATTAGTTAATATCATTATATATATAGTGATATACTCACTACATAAATATAGTCTGATATAGTCTGATTTATTTTCATATTTTTTTTTTTGAATTTTTTAGGCAGTTTTGAATTTAATGGAAAATATTGTTGAAAATTAAAATTAAACAACTTTTGAAAAAATTCAAAAGTCGCGTTATCATATTTATGTTTTATATAACGCAATATAATATTTAATATTAAATAGAGTATCATATAACTAAAAGTTTCGCATTATTTACACACAAATAAATAAAAAATAAATATAATAATTATATTAATAATTTAAAATAATGATAGTACTGCTCCACATAATTAAAAATTGTTTTTAATAAAATACTTATTTAAAATGTATATAATGAAAAGAAAAATAAAAGTTTCTGGTGCCTCCTCTATTTTGCAATAAGTTTAAGAAACATTGAATATTTATTTGTAAACTTTATTAGTAAACTTTATTTATAATCAAAATTTTAATAGAAATGATTTTATGATTTCACAAATATTTATTTTCTACTTTTCTTGAATTTATGTTTTATTACAGACGCACGTAATTAAATTATTTGTAATTTTTTTAAATATTATTATTTATGCTTTATGTGTTAACAAGCTTCACAAATTATTAATGATTACTCTTGCAAATTGTTTTTGTAACTGCAAAAATTCTATAACAGTTCATAGATATTATTTTCATAATAATTTAATTAAATTTAAAATATTCTGATTAATTTTACCATCACTGGTATTAAAACCGGTTAACCGGTTAACGGTTAACTTACTAACTTAAAAATTTAATAAATATTATCATCCCTGGTCTTGGAGCTGTTAACCATATAATACTAACAGCTTTAAGTGCAATGCAGCTAATTTAAAGGCTTCTATTAATATAAACAATAAGAGGGTTTATTTTAATTAAGTTTATCATTTTGGTGCAAAACTTATACATATGTTGTGGGCAGCATTAAAAAATATTTATGAAATAGGAAAGAATATATGGAGATTTGTTTAGAAACATCAAATAATTGAACCACTTCATTACATGTACAATTTAAAAATTTGTTTTAAATATAATCGAAATGTTCATAGTTTTGTAAAATTTATCGTGAAAAGCGATTTATCGTGAAATTAGAAAAAATAATATATATAATGACTTAAGCTAATAGCTACTGTCTGGATTTCCTTTTGTAGGGTATTGAAAATATATATCTTATGGCTTATGTGATATTGTTAACCGACGTAAAAAAACATATGTATATTATTTGAATTAAATTTTATTACCCTGGACTGTATTCATAAAAATAGTTTTTTTAGTATAATTATTTCTAAAATATCTTAATAACTTGTAATATAAAGTTTATAATATAAAGCTTACTTTACTTTATCGAAGTAAGCAAATGTTTTCTCGAATCGGTATAGATATGTGTTTTAAATTACATTTTTGCTAATTTTCCATAAAGTTGATGTTGATCATTAAGTTGATCATTAAGTCGAGATGGAACCACAACCTACTTACCTAACATTTACTCAAACTTGCCAATATACGCGATTGGTAGCGCTCGAATGGAGTAAGAGTTGATCTCTTACTAAAAATTTAATAAAGAAAACTTAAAATTTTTCTATCCGCAAATGCCATGAAAACTTGAGCTACCTTAGTTCTAAGTGAAGTTTTATAAGCATAACACTTTAATATTTGCGTTAAAACATTTAAAATATCTCAATATTTTTATTACTATCCTACTGATTTTATGATATCCATCTTCAACAATAATGCGATATTAAGTAAAGCATTATTGTCTTTGAATAAACTATATTATTTAGTTACTAATGAAACCAGCAATTATATTTGCACTTACCAGATTCAACATTTTAGCAGGTTGTCATATGTTTATGGTTGTCAATTGAATTGGATCTACATATATAGTTTAAAAAGACTTAATTCTTCTAGTTTAAATAAAAGTCTGATTACCAAATGTTCAATCAACTCATCATTTGTTGATTTTTTCTCTCTTACATGCGTTCTACATTACTTACATGTGTTAATTTTCCATGTGTACTGTTTTTTCAATGACAACTTCTTCCGCTGTTCTGGTGTTTCATTAACTGTTATTTGATAACTGTTCATTAGTTTGTTCATGACTTTTTATCCTTATGTTTTCCTTATATTTCTCATTAGAGTACTTTTTCTAAAACGTCTTTCACTGAATGTTTCTTTTAATCCCATTTTGTTGAAAGCAATATTATTAAATAAAAACCACAATTATAAAAATTAATTTTATTAAATAAAATTTTATGATTTTAGTTTTTAATCCTTTTCTTTTAATTCTTTCAATTATTATAACTTGGATTTTTGTACTCTGTAGAATTAAATAATATTTCATAATTTTAGTTTTTAATTTTTTCTTTTAATCCTTTAAATTATTTTAACTTAGAACTCTCTTACAATTTATGGATCGTTTCAACGTTTTTCAACGATTATCCAAAACACCTTACAATTATTTATTTGTGATTTTCTTGCATTCTATATTACATTCTCTATTTTAATTGACATAATTGTTGATTGCTCTATGATATTATAGTACTTGTTTTTTTTTCTTTTAAAAACTAATATTTAGAACTTTCCAAACTGTTTCCAATATTATTGAAAATACTTTTTGATTTAATTTGTTAAAAAACAATTATGAAAAGTTCTATTTGAGTTACTAGAAGAACTGGTTGTTATTATTGCAAGCCAGTTATAATTATTATTAGTTCTCATGAATTCTAGTTGATTTGACAAAACAGATAAATTCCAACGGGAAGTACGCGCGGTCCTTGGTGCCTTAGGACCCAGAAACGTACATTCGAACGTTCCTTGTTACTAACAAGCTTATATTTATATGTAAATAATTAGTTTTAAACTATGTAGGATCCTTAGATTAATTTGTTGATCGATCAGTTTAAAAATAATAAGAAAAAAGAAAATAACGATATTAAGGAATTGACTTAAATAAAAATTCTTTTGATTGGTGTTTCAAGATCTTTTTAAAAAATTCATATATCACGTCTAAAATTTTTTTACACATATCCATTAAAGATAAAATCCATAATATAGCAAGGTTATATCAACATTACACAAAAGTTCATAAACATTATGGTATGAAAAAATATAAATCTCAGTGTATCGCACGATTGTCAACACATTAAATCAATGGTTTCACAATATTTCACCACGTTGCTTCAAGCACATTTTGTCGTTGTTGTTGTTTTTTTTTTATTGCTCAACATTTAAAACATTTTAAACATTTTAAAACAATTAATTAAACGTAAATGCATTTTTAATCCATTTAATATTTATGATTATTTTATTTTATGTAATTTCATTTATTCGCTCGTTAAATTCATTTACTCGTTAAATTTGAACTCACCACACTCAACTCCACCGTTACACTCACAGCTTAGCGATTTCGGTGGGTTCGCTTTATGTGCGCAAACATTTCAAACAGGATTCAAAGGCCATTGCTCTTGAAATGGTTGATAATATACGCGGAATTTTCAACAATCTACTTGAGCAAGTTGACTGGATGGATAATATGACTAAGAAAGAAGCTAAAAAGAAGTTGCACTCAATGGCTACACATATTGGTTATCCGGATGAAATGTTAGATGAAGAAAAACTTTCTAAATATTATGAAAAATTAGATATTGATCCAAATAAGTATTTTGAATCATTCCTTAAAATGAATGTATTCGGTACTGATTATTCCTTCAATAAACTGCGTTTGCCAGTTAATAAAACTGATTGGGTACGTCATGCTAGACCTGCTATTGTGAACGCATTTTATTCCTCAATTGAAAACAGCATACGTAAGTGTAATAGTATTAATTCTATTATTATTTTTAAATTATTTCATTTTTATTTTCACAACAGAATTCCCTGCCGGTATCTTGCAAGGTCACTTCTTCAATGCACACAGACCTAAATACATGAATTATGGTGCCATTGGTTATGTTATTGGACACGAAATTACACATGGTTTTGATGATCAAGGACGTCAATTCGATGTTGATGGCAATTTGGTCGACTGGTGGCAACCTGATACACAAAAAGCTTATTTAGACAAAGCTAGATGTATTATCGAACAATATGGCAACTATACTGAACATATAACAGGCTTAAATGTAAGTTAACTATATACATAAATAAATGTTGTGTTAAATAAACGCTCAATAAGGCCTAGAATTTTCAATTTTGACGTGATATTAAACAATATTTCACTTTACAGCTGAATGGCATTAATACACAAGGTGAAAACATTGCAGATAATGGAGGTGTTAAGGAATCGTACATTGCTTATAGACAATGGGCAGAGAAGAATGGTCCGGAACCATTATTACCAGGATTAGATTACACACCAGAACAAATGTTTTGGATATCAGCTGGTCAAACCTGGTGCGCGAAATACCGTAAAGGTGGGTTCTTTTGCGAAAAATTACTGTTTATATTTAGTTATGTATTTCTTAACAAATCGTGTTTCCTGGCCTTAAATACTATAAAGTTGTTTAAAAAATTAAATATTTTTTAGTAAAATAAAAAATTTTCCATCCAATCATTCCTGACTATCGGAAAACGGTCAAGCGATCTAGGTAATGGGATATATAATGTAGTTATTGTAAGAAACTCAATTTATACAAACACTATGGTATTATAGTTTTCTATTGGAAAACTATAGCTTTCTTTTGAGAATGATACGTATGAGTTAAATTGTTAATAAGTCAAGCTCCAGATTTGGTTTTGTTAGATCTATTACGTATCTCTGAACGATATTTAGTCATTTCCCTTCTTTCAGTTCTTAGTCGTAAGAGATATCGCAAGCAATTACAACGCAGATGAGCTAAAGTCTGGTTATATACAGATTAGGTGAACAAATCGAGCACAACCCTAGTATCATGCAAACAATTTCTGATATCATTCTGTATAGAATAGAGTAAGGCACAATAAAAAAGTTCAACAATAAGTGCGAATATGTAGTGTTCGCGGTTTGTATACCCAGTAAGGATAGTCCAATAATTGATTAGCTGATGGTTTAGAGTTCCTTATATCTGCTTTGTTATTGACCAACATATGTGTAAGATATTTTAAATAGGCTAGGAATTTATTTTTAAGTCATTCGTTAATTGTGGACTTCTTAAAGACCATTTTATGCTTTCTTCAATGTAGAAGACTCTTTAGGAGCGCGTGACACATATGGTTTTAGTTGAAATGTGGACTCTGAAATCTAAAAGACTAAAGTTTGGTCTCAAAAAAATAATATTTATAAAATACTTGGTGGCTGAGTTTCAGGAATATCGAACATTCTTTAAATTTGAAAAAATTGCTTCTACAAAGTTAACTAAGTGGTTTATAACTAGATCCTAACTGTATCTAATATCTCTAGGGATTAATAGGTTTATGCGTGGCTTACGACCAGTCACATTAACTTAATCTGATCCATATATAACAGAAGCTGCCACCAAGTCTTATCCCCACCCTTTGATTATGGTTATACGCTAACAAAATAAATATTTATAAAAATTTGTTTGAATATTTAGTGTATTTAAATTGTGTTTATATTCTCCTTTATTTTAATCTATTATTTTGTTGACATTTTAGAAACTTTAAAAATGCGTATTACAACTGGCGTTCATTCCCCATCGGAGTTCAGAGTTTTAGGTTCGCTAAGCAACATGAAAGATTTTGCAAAAGATTTTCAATGTCCAGAAGGATCACCTATGAATCCAGTGCACAAATGTGAAGTTTGGTAAAATAACATTGACAAACAACATAATATGCAGAGTAAAAACTAAAAAACTATTTTGCTTTATTATGCTGACCTCTTTTCTTAATTGTTTTAGTTTTAATTTTAAGTTTTAGTTAAAATTATAAAAAAACCAATTTGTAAATTATATGACATTTAAGAACACAATTTTTTTCGTTTTCCTAAAATTTAATTAAGCGTATTTCTATCATAAATACGCACAAATTTTCATGTATTCGTAGTCAAAAAAAGTGATGTGAATTTTTAAACAAAATAAACAAAAATTATAAAATATTTGTTATTTGAACAAAATAAATAAACTCATAATAAATGTTTTAAAAGAAAACTGAGCTTTTATTTGTAAAACGTATCTTCCAGTGACTTTATAGCTGATTTAGATGTTCCTAATAAAGAGGATACTTTTAGGCTGCCTACATTGCAAAGGTAGTCTTAAGTTTAACATGAATTTTATGTAGCATACTTTCGTGCATGATCTTTATCTTAAATATTGATTATTATACATCCTAAAATTATGCAACGCTTTTAGTTGTTTCGCATAGTTTTTTTTTACCTTTTATTTTACAACTTCATATTTTTGTCGTATTACAATGGGAAGTATATTTGTACAGATAAGTGGTTCCTGAAACCTTTCTGATAATTATAAACTTTAATATAAAACAAGTTATTTTCAATTTCAATTAAAAATTTTCAGCGTAATTTATTTAATCAGTTAGAGAATTTAATATTGATATTTTTTTCAATATATATAAAGTTATATATTATATATACATAATACATAATATATAAAGATGTGGTGTTAACATATATATATATATACTTAGATATATAAGTATATATATATACTTATATACATAAGTATATACATATATACTTAGGTATATTATATATTTATGTATAGATATTTTTATATATGTTAATAATAATAAAAACTTGTCTTTATACACAATTTTAAAAGTATTAAAATGAAATGAAGTTAAAATAGTTATAATATTACAAAAAAGAATCATAATATATATAATAAAATTATTGAAATATATTTTCTTGACTTTTATACAATTTCATACTCGTTATATATTATTTATATATATTTATATTGTATCATAATGACAAAGGTACATAAGGTTCTGGTTAGGTTCGTGGGTATTTTGATTTGTTATACTTTTATTAATTTTAATTTTAATACAAATTAAAATTTTATATATTTAATACAATTGAATTAATTTAGCATGCAATTTATAAATAATTTAAATATAAAAATTTATAATATTATATAATACAACTACAACAAATACATTATTTAAAAATTCAATACAATATATATTTAATATTTCTTTTACATAAAGACTAAAAAAATTAATATAAAATATATATATATAATAGGCAAATATATAAATTTTTAAAAATAATTTACAAAAGTATTAAATATTACAATTTAAAAATTAAAATGATAAAATATTAATTTTATAAAATAAATTGTTAAATATTAAAATATTTTTATATTTAAATTCATTAAATTGACAGAGTTTTATGTATGTATATTATTTATATATATGTAAAATATGGTAAATACAAGTAATGTGTATAAATTTTTTTATCATTTCTTTCACCAAACAAACATACAATATATATTATTAAATTTTTTAAATCTGTATATAGAATTTTAAAATAAATTTAACATTTATTGTTTTTATTTCAAATACATTAAGCTTTAACAATATTTTGAAAAAAGACTAACGTTTTTAATAAATATATTTTCTGATTTTTTTTTTCGATTTTATTTTTGTAAAAACCAATTTAATAAATATAAATTGTAAATATTTTTTAAGAATTTTTGCTCAAAAATAGAGAGCTTATTTATATCGAATAAAATAATTTAAAAAAATTTTAAGCGTTAATATCTAAAATTTTACGATTTTAAAAACGAATTTTTAGCTATAAAATTTTGATATGATAAGCGCCTATAAACTCTTTAAAAACTGTTTGAATATTTATATAATGTATGTCAATATCTAAAAAATAAAAGAAACCTAAAATTGCAACAACTACTTAGACGACTTCGATTGTTTGATAAAATCCGTTTCAGCAAGTGTGATCTTAGCTCAATATTGTTTTTTTATCCATATATTAAAGGTATTAAATATTTTTTACACGCAGCTAAATTTTATACCATCGTCACTGGAATAACAGTTTTGGCAGTGTAGTTTATGATTGCGCACTCGTACATCGGTACCATTGAGACCATCACCAAGCTGGACATGGCACACACAGCATTTAAAGCAATTTATGTGGTAGAACAGCAACAAGGACTCGATTATCATTGCAGCGCCACGACCTAAGATACGCAATTACATGGAGACATTACTATTAGTATTAATTTTATTTAATATTTTAATTTTTTTATATCGATAAGATTCATAGTTTTTTTTTCGTTGTTTCTGAGTATATAACACGTTGTACACATCACGATATATAAAAGTTGCAGTAAAAATTATTTGAGTTTCATACAATTAAATAATTAATTTTATTACATATTTATTATTATATTACTAATATAATATTAATTTATGACTATAATTAATTTCTTGTTCTTTCAATAAATATTTATTATCATTACTAAATAGAGGTTGAGTGTGGAAACATATATATTACCATAGTGGTGAAATTAGTATAACAAGTGAAGCGTTTTGACGAGCTCATCTAATAAGTTAATAATTCATTTTTGTATATAGTGTTATATATTTGTTATATATATATATATTTTATTATATTATATTTAACATGTTTATTACATGCTCTTTACACTACAATCTTAAGACTTCTAACACTAACAAGTTTTAATTGCATTCACACTATATATTTATTGCTGCAGTTGGCAGTAAAATATCCAAATAAAGAACTGATATATCCATATATATATATAAACATTTAAATTATGTCACCTGAATGAGGTTTTACATTTTATGTCATACATTTTAATATTGCCACTGTTATGCTATGGTTACAACAACACTATTTTCTCTACCTCTGCCAGTATAGGTATACTGGCCAGACACATCGGCCAGTAAAAAAAAGTGTTACCAATGCAATAAGCGAACTATTGTGAACCTTAATTGGAAATTCCAACGAATATTGCAATCATATGTTAATAATTATATGTTATTAAAAATTTAAAAATTTCATAAATATGAAAATTGAAAAAAAAAAGAAAAATTTCGGTGTTTTATTTTGACATTTTCAACATTTTTTCAATTCCTCTTAATTTTGTATTCATTTTAATTTTCAATCTATGCTAATTATTTATTTTTATACAAAATATAATTTGCTTGCATTATGCTATTTTTGCTATTTGTCAAAACATAATATTTGACAGATTGCAACAGTGATGCCAATGGCTCACGTGGCCAATATAAGCTAAAATGCATTTTTCTCCATACTTGCGAGCCACCGAAAAGGCCTAATAACAACAATATTAACGACCCGATTTGCTATAAAATCCAATAGAATTTATACCAAAGAATTTCGTTTTAAATATTTATTTTCCATTTAAGGAAAATTAATTATTTCAAACGTTTATACATAGTGCTTTTATATATATATATATAATTACTAAATGTTTACTCAATAATTTTTACTGCAATATTTAAATAATTTTCATTTAATTTAAACCCAAACGATGTATTTGACTGCTTTTTGCACATTTCGACACTTATTATTCGTGCAGCCAAGATCTGTACAAAATATATTGTCAGACATGCAAAAACATAGAAAATAATTAAGTTAGAATTAAATAATTCTATATAAAAATATTATAATTTTAAAACAAATGTATGTAGAGTGTAAATTTTAAAAATACGGAGCTACATGATTTGTTTTCTCTAAATTTAATATGAAGTGTTTGTTTTATGTTTAACGAAAAATGTTTCTAAAAATACCTTAAACAATAGTGAATCGAATTGCTTTTTTATGTGCGAATAATATTACGAGCAATTGTTTTATATGCAAATAAATCATGACTACATATATTTTCAATGGATATTTAAAGCAAGGTTTTCACTTTATGGTTATAATGATAGATCATAAATAAGTTAAATTTACTGTTTAACCTTAATATAAAATTTGTCCTTTCTAAATTTTCAATATTTTTTTATATTCACCACACTCTTACTTTTCTATAGTTACAATCTATCTACACACCATACACTTTCTATACCAAAAACCTCTTTACCTATTAAGAGACTACTATTTTTTGTTTTCAATTTATTACTTGCAATAAAATCTTATCTGATTTGTGTCGTATCTTATTATTTTGAAATACGCTTCATTGTTGTTAACCATGGTCACCTTATCATGTGATTGAGGTGAAAACATTAAGCTGTGGATAGGGTGTTAATTGAAGGTAGTCTAGGTAAAGGTGAATAACCACAAATCAGTGGAGCTCAAATTAGTTAATAAATGTTGGGAAATGTAGAGTTGCAGTTTGATTACGCATTGAATATAAGTGACAAGTGACTGTGTAGCATTTGGTTATATTTTCACCTCATACCTATGTAACATGTCTCTATGTTGTCTTCTAAGCGAAAACCGTGAAACGCGAATCCATCCATTAAACAAGTTTGGAAAATTGTAATTGAGCAATAATTTTGGAAAGTATACCTAGCAGCTCTAAGAATCTGTTGCAATCTTTTACCAGTGGTTAAAAAATTATCATTTTATTTTTACTGTTACTCAGTAACTAATTTCATATAACTCAACTAATTTAATATAAAATGTCTTAAATGTATAAGAATCTTATTATTATGCAAGTACGAAAGTAGTGTATCAGTTTTGATGTTATAAAATTTTATTTTTTTTGCTACAAATTTACTACAGCTACCATATCTCCATAAAATGTAACATTTTTTATTTCTATTAACTATTTATATCATGATTTTTGGATTCAGTAAATTACAGACATAATTTTCCTTATGCCAAGAACAGCCGTGTCTACGACCCAGAACCATTTGCCTGTTTAAAAATAGCAGTTTCTTATAGTATCTGATCGAAAAAAGATTGTTTATTGGAAACTGCCATTTCGAAATTATGGGCGCTGGGTTCACTAACTTGTAGAAACTTTGACAGTAAGAAAATATTCTTGAGGAAATAATTTGATATATTTAATTTAAGAAAATTACATATTAAATATTATAATATTAGTATTCTAATTGTTCACAAGAAGTACCTGACATAGTAATTCTGAAACAGTTATTAGAAAATATTCTTTCTTTTTTATAAATTACGTCACTGGTTGCACATGTAGGTGAGATGGTGGCTACTATATTATTAGAACTTCCAAACTTTTCTACAAGATATTTACCTCACCTACCATCTATACTAATTATAGGAAATTATCTTTTAAGATTCGTTGTGTTCTTGAAAATGCTTATGAATTGCGATAGCGCATCCTACAATGACTTTTTAAATATACAAAGCTTATCAGAGTTTCCTGATACTTAAATACACTTGTAAATATCTTAAACCCATTAAATTCAAATTTTCTTAGTTAATCTATTTTCTTAATGATCTACCATTAATAAAATTTTATAGTGAGAACCTTGCTGGTGAAAACAAAAAAAAAATCAATCATTTTTCGAAAAACACTCACAACCAACGTAGTAGCAAAGTTTACCTAGTTCATCACCACAGTGTGAACACTTCTTCTTGCCACTAACGCTAAGCACTTTGTCTTGTGTTGAGTTTGTTGGCTGGGACGTTGTTGAAGTGTTTGTGGTGACTTGCATTTGTGTTGTTGAATTCACATCACTCGTTATGCGATGTGTAGCTGTTGTTTTATACTGTTGCTGTTGGTGAATTTTATGATGTTGTTGTTGTTGTTGATAAGAGGCTGCATGTAATGAAGTTTTATCAATGTTATTGCTATTATAAATCTCAAGCCTTTATAATACATAGGGAATAAAGATAAAGATAAAGAAAAAAAGTTAAAATATTATATTTGCATTCTAATTCACATGACAAACTCACCTCTTACGTTCACCGATGCCTTTGCTCTGCACTCGTTCTGTTAACGATTGTATAATTGAGTCGGGCAGTGGTTTGCCATTATTATTATTTGAGGTACCTTTTGTACTGCCGTTATGTTGTTGTAATGACGTTGTATTGCTGGTCGGTACTGCACGTCGTTGTTGTTGTTCCGCTACACGTCGCTGCTCGGCTTCTTGTATCAACCAATGGTTGTTGTAAGCATGATAGGCATCTGGCATGGATTTTCTTTTCTGCTGATACGCCGATAGCCATGCAGGGTCATTGGCTAAATTTGAATCATACGATTTACGATTCTGCACCTGCACCCAACCATCTGTGTATTTTGGTTTTGGCGTTGCGCTTAGCGCATGTAAGGTATTACGCGACATATTGCTGTGATGTACATGGCCGTTGGTGCTCGCATTGAAGTTTTGATTGTTCTGATTAGCATTGTTCAGATTAGCGAGATTTTGTGCTGACTGATGTTGGTAATTAGTATAAATTTGACCTCGTGGTGCTGCTGTGGGTGTAGCAATTTTAACCAATGAGCCACCATAGCTTTGTGTATTCAACGAGTGACGTTGTCGCACAAAGTCATCATAACCATTCGTTGCTACATGCACGGCACGCATTGGCTTCGTTGGTGGCATTGGTGGTAACATGAGACGTTTGGAAAATTCGTTTAAATCCGACATGGATTTACGATAATCCGTTTCGACTTGATAGTATTGCTGTTGTAAATTTGGCACATTGGCATAGATTTGCTGTTGTTGTTGCTGTTGCTGTGTGAGTTGTGTTGCCTGCAATTGTTGTTGTTGCTGCTGATTTAAAGTATGTGGTATTATTGTCGGTTGGAATGCGCTGCCATTTGTGGGCACAGAAATGCTTAATCCCACTCCATTTAAATCCTGCAATGAGTGTCTGTTAGCGGAGAGTAACATTTTGGCGCCATGTTGTAATTCTCGTCGTGCCATGTTTTCTCGCAATACAAGATTTTCACGTTGACGTTTCAGTTCTTCTTGCTCCAGTTGTAATAGCTCTCTTTCTACTCGCAAGACTTCTTCCTGCTCGCGGATCTTTTCTTCAATTGAGAGCATTTTGGCATTTGCTGTAGCTGTGGCCTCCGTTAGAGATTTTGTGGCAGCTGCCGCTGCTGTGGCGGATTCTGTCCATGATTCGGCTGAATTACCTTTGGCTGTTTGTAGTAGTGGTGTTTGTGCGACCGCTAGTAGCGTTTCGTTTTGATAAATCACTTCATTTTGTTTGAGGCTATGCGGAGAATCAATTTGACGATCGTTTTCTTCAGAAGAGTTCGTGTAATGTTCGCTGCTCTGACGTGAATGATTTTCAGAAACACCTGAATCGCGACTCTCTCCTATTTTCAGAGAAAGGAGATAGAGAAAGAATAGTTAATAAATATTTCTAACACAATACTTTTTTTACAGCTCTGATTACTTTATTTTTCGGTTTGAATATATCTGGATTCCTTAACACCAATGGATTAATATTTACGGTTTTTTATGATTGAAAACTTCGTATATGAATCCTAAAGCAATACTTCGATAAAACTCTCTGAATTGCATTTCTTCTCTGACACTGGATATTTAATTTAACTCACTTTCCTGCTTTTGAGTCTAAATATAAAAATTTTAATTTAAATATATATCATTTTTTAATCAATATCGACCTCTGATTAATGACCACTTATATCTCCTCAAATTTTTTAAGAGTAAACTAAACCATGAATTTGAATTGGAAAAGAGATATAATCATAATAAATATTGTAGAAACTATCTTTTGGCATAGAAGTGAATACTTTCGATTCTATGCAGCAATATATAAAAAGGAGTTATATAGTTGTATTGTAATTATAATATTATTACAAGTGGCAGAGATACACTATGTTAATTTCTTCTAATATCAATAAAATAAGTTTATTCTCTAAATAATATAATATTATAATATTTATGATATATATCATAAAAGACCCGGTTTAGTGCTAATAAAACTAAATACGTTTTCGGTAACTAAGAAATTTATAATTCTTCCGGAGCGGAGAAATTTTGTATTTCTAATTCTCTCTATTTCTAATTTCTCTCTAAACAGGATATAAATAGTTTTGAGCTTCATTAAAAGGATCTTATATGTGGTTCTAAGTTGATCCATTCTATTTAATTGCTCTCTATATTTTATATTTTATATTTATATAGAGACATACAGATTGCTATTAATTTTCTTTTTGTAAGCAATAACGATATAAATTCCATCATATATAAAGATGGTTATTCTCTTTTCTCCTACTTTAATCTCTTTTCTGAATAGTTTTCCAAATGGAACTTTTAGAAACCTGACATAATGTATCTATAGGTGTACGGCTAACTATTTCAACCTATATATGGCATGTCCATAATACAAGTGTTTTAAACATTTTGAAGTGATTAGTTTTTTTTTCTATTCAGTGATTATTGATTTAGCCATGGGTTCTCCAACTATAAAAATTGATCAATTACTTAAAAATGTTATGACGTCTCAATCAAATGACCGTATAATTAATTAAGTATAATAAAATTAAATAAATAAATAATTTAATTTAATGTTCACTCACCTGTATCTGAGCTATCGCATAGACCGGCTTTCAGATAGAGCTGTTTCTCTAAACGACGTTCTTCTTGTAACAGTTGTGCCATATCTGGTGGTGGTGCTACAGTTAACTCCAAATAAGTTTCATCATCGTCGAGTGAACCTTCAATACCAAGAAAACTGGAACGTTTATTGCGTAATTCTTTCTTAATGCGTTTTGTGGAATTCATGCGTTTAATAGGCGGTGAGGGATGTTCTACAGCCAAACCATTCATTGGTAGACGTGATGATATCGTCTCATATGTATTATCTAAAGACCAAGACGTGTTGTCTGCACAATCGATCTCATCAAATAGTGGTGGACTTTCGGTAGGTGGTGGTGGTGGTTTCTCTTTAGGTGGTTCCATTTTAAAGCCTACATCATTTGATGATGTAGCTAAACTAGAGTTCTCTAAACCGGTATAGAAGACTTCGATATTTTCATAAACTGGTACTGGCCGCAAATGTTTTGGCGCATCGTAATAGGGTTCTATAGATTTTGGTACTTGATAGTAGGGTTCAGGTGTATTATTGCTTGGATCTAAAATTTTTGGATTGTTGTTGTGTTGTTCGATTGATGTTTGTTGTTGTTGTTGTTGGAGTTGTTCGATTGTTGTTTGTTGTTGCTGTACTTGTTGTAGTTGTTGTTGCTCGTCGTCGCCAACTGTTTTTAGTACTGTTGTTGTGGTTTTTGTTGTAATTTCTTTAAATGTTGTTGCATCAATTTTATTTATTTTTGTTGTAGTTGCTGTTGCCGTTGTTGTTATTGTTGTATTAGCAAAAGCATTTGTTAAGTCAACTAAATTATTGTTGTTAATATTATTAATATTGTTGTTGTTAGTTTTATTACTGTTGTTGTTATTTATAATAAATTCATTATTATTATTATTATTGATATTTATATTTAATTGTTTATTGTTTATATGCGTTATGTTTGATTTTGGAATGATTTGATTTGCCTCAACGTCTAACTCAAGCATAGACGTTGCCGAAACATTCTCATAGATGGGTTCTTGCGAAATGATTGTTTCAATTTCGTTGTCCGCTGCCGTTGCCGCCACATGCTGCTCGACCGCATTTTGGTAGTCCTGTAGGCGATTGTTGTGTAAGTTGTCGTAGTCATCAAAGTTGCTGTTGCTGTTGGTGTTGGTGTTGTTGTCAATGATGTTTTTATTTAATTTCGATTTCAGTTCTTTTTCCTCATCGGTTTTGTTGGCAGTTTCATTGGGATTTGATGCGGCAATGTTGTTGCTGTTAGTGTTGTTGTTGTGGCTGTTGTTGTGGTTGTGGTGGTTGCGTTTATTGCTGGCGGCGGCATTGGTAACATCATCGGCTGTTATTTCTTCGACATGGTCATTTTTGTCAATTAAATTTGTATTGGTTTTTTGGATTTGATTATTTATGGAACTCGTCTCTTTGTCAATTGCTTCCAGCGCTAATTCAAGAGCTTCGTTGATCTGTGCAATACAATGTTGTTGTTGTTGTTGTTTTTTTTTTTTGGATTTTCACATATTTGTAAAATTTTCAAATTAATAATTTGATTGAATTTGTTTTTGTTTTCAATTTGACATATGCATATTTTTGTCATAATTAAAAATTCAGTCAAAATCAGTCAAATTCAGCCAAATAAACAATAAAAGCCAAGCACGGCATGAAGTGAAGAGAGGCAATTTGGAAAAACAAAAATTAATTAAGTTAGTTTTTGATCGTAGTTGATTTTTTTTTAAAAATTTTTTATTTTGTTTGGCAATGCAATAACTAATATAAACAACAACAAATATGACAAATAAATTATATTTTTAGTAATAAAAAACAAATAAATATAAATTTAATTAAGCGCTTTAGTTCCAATAAAAGTAGATAGCATGAAGCATGAGCGAGCACGAGAAAAAGAAAGGGGAAAAACTAAATAGTATTAAATAATGTAGAAGGGCAACCAATCAATATTTCTACACGGTAAATAAACAGTATATTTACATAAAATAATAAGATACATATATTGTATTCCATTGAAAAAAAAAAAAAATTGTAGAAAAGAAAATTTATAGCAATAGTTTTAGCAAAAGGAAAACAAAATGATGTCATGCAAAACTAAGTTCAGAAAATACATTTATTAAAATATTTGTATTTAAATTAAAAACATTAATAAACATAAAATAAATTAAAGAAAGAATCTATAATATTTTGACCTAACCGAAAAAACAATTTTCGGTTAATGCAAAAATTATTGGTCCGCAGGACATAAGATTTTAGATTCGGCAACACCGACAATTTCCGACAAAAGAGTTTGAATATATTTAATATATTTTTTATTATATATTATATATTTTATTATATTATATATTTTGTTTTAGAATAGTTTCAGAATATTAATACATCTAAGCAATACGATTAGCAACATATTATCCGAAGCCAAATACCATTCTTACAACTCATGGTATCACCAGAGGAAATATAGTTTTTTGTTTGGGTTTTATTTTAAATTTATTTTGAAGGATAAATAATATTTATTATAAAAATAATATAATACATTATCGTTGATTACACTAATGCTACAAAATGTAGAAATATCTTTCATAAATATATGTTATACGATTTAGCAACTATTGGTTGCAACAACATGCATAGGTTGGTGTCTTTTGCGATAATATATAAGAGTCTTCCTATCGCTCATATAGTAGTTTGAGTGATATAAATTCAGCCAAGCCATATTCTGAATGAGTATACTAACTGATACAATATGCATAAATATTTTGAACAAATCCACTAGATAGGATCAATTAATCATTCTCCAAGACTGGGTACCAATAACTTTATTTTATTATATATGTTACTTCTTACAAAAAAGTACTCACTTTCCATTTATTTAAATTTTTATTTTTTATTTATATTTTATGTGTTTATATTTTTTATTTTATATTTATAAAATTTATTTTATTTTTATTTACTAAGAACTCAAGCTCAGATACCCAATACTCACAAATTAATAAAAGGAATTTAGTCCAATAATAACTAATCCGCAAAGCGAAATTTTAAACAAATGATTAGCTGCCATCCGCTATAAATGGATATTTGAGAAAATTGATGAAATGAAGTTAACAACGAAGAAGAAGTCCATCAATTCATATACATACATAAGACTATAGATCTCAGATATAGTTTTAAAGAAAAAGAAAATCTAAACTAATAAAACAATAGCAATATCTAGATATACGAGAGCGGCTATATGAAAAACAAATATTTCAAAATCGATCACAAGATGAGAATCTATAAGCCTGGCAATAGAGCAATAATCGATGCACAAGTATCGAAACTTAGACAAGACACAAACCCACGTCACAGTTGAAATGAAGAAGATATCAACAGAATATAGAGAAGTGGAAAAATGATGAACCAACACTGATATAAAGGGAGTGTGTGATATTAAAGATGAATAAAAGAGAGAAAAATATGTGGAATAAACACCTTCGGTAAATATCTAACTAATATTTAGCTAAGAAGACGTTTTATGATAGAATCTAAAATACTCCACTACAGGCTGTAAGGGAGACCACTTATCGATGGCTTAACACTAGCGTTCGCTCAATACTATAATTCTCTGCAGTAAAGTCAAATATTATGTGGTGAATTTAATTTATATTATAATATCAATGTGTGATATCAATCAATGTAATCAATGTGAAAATATTATACATTTTTTTATTTAAGAATACTATCTCAATAAAAAAATGGAGAAGACATGTTAATGTAGGATCTGCCTTCAAGTACTTTCTTAAATATACTTTCATTTATATTTTACAATATTTATATATCAGCGTTTCCAAGCACAAACTCTCTTAAAATTTACTTAGGAATGCTGGACAACTGCCTACCGATCCTCAATGAATTGACACAAAACAACTGCGTTAGGCAACAAAAGGGGTGACTGTCTTGCTAAAAAAAAGAAAGAATTCTACGTTAATTAATTAGAGTTGACCTATATACTCCAATACTGGGTGGAGTCTCCATTAAAAAATCAGTAGATTGGTTATAAAGATCAAAGGCAAATTAAGATATTCATTACTCTATGCAAGGCAGGCTCTTTCAGACTTTCTACATAGAGAATATTAAAATTCTTACCAAATTTCTTCTCGTCTTCTAGAAATGTGACCATCTGAAATGTCTTTTTGAGAACATCTAAAAGGTTTTTTAGAGACCATTAAGCCTTTTTGGAAAACGATGTTAAAACGTCTAAGCATATTCACTGCGAAAAAGCAGCAGTAGGGTTATACATCTGTAACACCAGCTTTTGCAGTATAAAACAAAACCATCAGTAGTGCTTACGTTCATTGAAAACCTAATAATCGATTAAAACAACCTGAGTACTGGTATTTAGTTTCTTACATAGTAATATTAATAATAAATTTTATAAGAAAAACTATTTAGGCAAATCATGTTGAAAATTTTTTGTATATAGTTTTCAAGCCCTATCTACTCTAATAAAATTAGTTTTTTTATTAATGGTGTACATTATCTCAGCACTGATGAAATGAACGTGTATATGGTTACATTTTCTCTTTTTTAAATAATTTAGTGTGTGTTAGATTTTAGGTCAATATGGGATAATGTGCATAGGCGCTTTAATCGTTTTTCACCATAACTGTGGTGAATAACATTTTAATTTTTTTTTTTTGAAACGAAAAAATTAACTTCTATTTTTATTACAGTAAAGCATAAAATATTATTTTTAATCGAAATTCGATACAAATAAAGTTGTTAATTGATTGCATATTTAATTTAAGCAAGGTAATCGAGTACTAAAATCCCCAAATATAAAAATAATTTATAACTTAATCAGTATAAAATAAAGTTAAAGTTTTATTTGACAAAAGAATGTGTGTCAGTTTCTAGGAATGCGAATACGTCTAAAATTATTTTAAGCACTTAATATGATAATAATAGTAAATACAAGTGCTGATATCAATAGAGCAATTTAGTTAATATATCAGCTGGAAGTAACCTTATCAGTTTTTTATTGATTTATTCAAAGTAAAAAAAGAAAATAAATAACCAGTAATGAGGAATTAGCAGATTATTAATGTGAAATACCACAACTTATTTATATGTACATTTAAGCACTAAAAACGTAAAGACTTCATTTAATGTCATTTCTTACCGGTGGTTTCTGATCCATTCTAGTGTTTCTTGTTCACGGCACTGGCACTTGACACTTGTTTGTTTTTACAGGAATTATTACAAATTACATAAAATTTGTAATAAAATTTATAATAAAAAATCTTGCGAATAATTTAATCACTCACGAATGCGTACTACATTCGAGTTAAATTAAAAGCACTTAAACGGTTGAAAGCCCAAAGGCAACTGAAGCCGTTTCATGTAATGCCTACATAATGTGCATTTAGATAAAGAAATCGCTGTGGTGTTTAGTAAAAAAAAATAAATAAACACTAAATACACAAATTTGCAATTGTTGAGAAAAGTATTAAAAATAAATACCAAACAAGAATAGTACCGGAGGAGGGGGTAAATATAGTACCGCAGTTAGAATATCGCAATAAAAATAACAAAAATCAATGGGGCTGGAAAAAAAACTTGGTTTAATTTTTACTATTTGCTGCGTATTTTATTCACTTTTCTTTTTCTATATTTATATATGTATTTAGTTTTTTTACTCGTGCCTAGCGAGTTATCAGCATTTAAGTAATGCTTGTTAGTCTAAAAATATGCTTGGAAATTTGCACTTCTTGAACTAGGGAAGCCCCTTCGGTTGAAGTGAAACGAATTCATTGCAGTCACACAGCGAGTACGAGCGTCTAGTGACTGCATTAAGCGCAACGTAGAGGTTAGATGCCAAACTACAGGGTCTTATATTGGCTTTGTTTTCCAATCCTCAGTTATTTCAGTTTAAGGTTTTCTGAATGAAATAGAAAAGCGATATAAGTTCAAAAAAGTAAAATGCAATTCAAAAGTGGTTATGACAAAAGATAATACTCTGTTGGAAAAAATTTGAAGATTCCTATTTTTTAAGTTCATGCTTTAAATAATTAAAAACACCTAAGAATATTTAAGAAATACGTTAAAATTAATAAATACCAATATTAATCGAGGGCTGTTTGATAACTAGTAATAAGTGTAGTAAATTATTGTGAAAATATTTTTTTTTTGTGTTAACCGTTAAAGCTTAAATAAAGATCAGTGCTTTCCAATTTAGAAAGTAATGTGAACCAGAAAAATATATTAATTATTTTAGTACGACCGGTACCAATATCTTCTCAAAAAAATTAAAATATTTAAAGGCGAAAATATAATATTTTATATACCAGTGCCTCTAATGACGTAGATCGACGATCGAAAAAGCCTGGTTAAATTATTTTTTTCAATATGGCTACTTTTTTATTTCGTTAGGATAAGTCATAGACAAATTTTGGGAAATTGGTATATATGACAAAATTTCGCA